TGGTTAATATGATCAAACTACTAAAGTAGAAATGGAAAGCCAACTTTGTAGGAGCTTTTTAAAAATTTTTTAATTATTTTTTTTTATTGCCAAACGGTGAATGAGCTTGTGTGAGAGAGTGCAAGCACTTCCTAATGGTAGGTGGTGTAGTGGTTGAAGTGCTGGCCAACTGTGGTTTGAGTCCCAGACCCAATGGCTTGAAAATAACACCAGATACGAATGCATGTGTGTCCAAAATCCCAAGAGGAAACTGGAGGAGAAGGGATTGTCACATGGCCATTCGTTCTCCAGTAAGCACACATCACTAAAAAGAGACAGACAGACAGACAGAAACAAAGAGAGAGAGAGAGGGAGGGAGGGAAAGAAAGCTGGGTCTGGGGATCAAACTTGGTTGGCTATGTGGGAGTTCAGTGCTTTAATCACATGCTGGCCCCTTCGATAACTCTTTTTTTTGTTGTTTGAGAGGTTTTTTCACTATAGGGCGCGTGCGCTCGCCAGACAGACAGAGACATAGAGACAGAAAGCGAGAAATCACCCCCCAGGGGGGATGGTCGCGCCGCAATCCCTTCTCCTCCATTCTCCTCTGGGCGGGGAGGCACGCACATGTGCCCGGCGTGAGTTTTAAGCCACCAGGTCTGGGATGTGAACCGCGGTCGACTACGTGGGAGTCCAGCAATGTTTCTCTTTGAAATATTGTCCTGTCTCCCAGATTTAGTCCGTTCTAGTCCAACCTCCCTTCTTATCCCAAAGTCACTCTCCTAAAATACAGATCTTTTGTTTCCCCACAGCTTAAAACTCTTCAGTGAATCTATACTGCCAACATTACTGTTTCTTTACTGCCTGTTTCACTGGTAGCATTGTGGTGTTAAAAATATGTAATCTAGTTAACATAGTACCCATGAAAAGATCACTTTATAGTACTAAACAGTATAACCTGCGTAGTACAAGTTAAGGTTCTCAAAAATTCCTTTTTTTTAAAGAGGTTTTTGCTAGAGGGTGTGTGCACTCGCCAGACAGAGACAGAGACAGAGATAGAAAGTGAGAAATCACCCCCGGGGGGGTATGGCTACGCCACAATCCCTTCGCCTCCATTCTCCTCTTGGGATCTTGGGCATGCACGCACATGCGCCCGGCTGAGTTTCAAGCTACCGGGTCTGAGACTCTCGAACCACGGTCGACTATGTGGGAGTCCAGCAACATAGCCATTACGCTAACTGCTGGTCCCAAGTTCTCAAAAATTCTTTAGGATAGCAGCTGGTAGGTGGCATAATGGCTACATCTCTGGACTCCCATGTAGTCAACTGTGGTTCGAGTCTCGGACCTGGTGACTTAAACTCTGACCAGGCCTGTGTGCATGTGTGCCCAAGATCCTGAGAGGAGAATGGAGGAGAAGGGATTGTGGCATGGCCATCCCCTGGAGGGTGATTTGTCACTTTCTGTCTCTCGGTCTTTCTGTCTTTCTGGCAAGTGCACGTGCCCTATAGCAAAAACCTCTCCAAAAAAGTCAAATTCTTTAGGACAGAGAAATTCAGTGTAGATTGTGTGTGTAATACAAATTGAGTACTTCTTACCCAAAATGTTCAGGACCAGAAGTATTTCAAATTTTAAAATTTTGAGATTTTGGAAACACAAAATTTTTGAGATTTTTTAACCACAAAATTTATTTATGTCGGGCCTGCAAGTAGCATGTTGGTTATGGTGCTGGACTCCCACATGGCTAAATGTAGTTTGAGTCCCAGACCTAGTGGCTTGCTTTTCCACTTTCCCTTTTTCTCTTTGTCTCTCTCTGGTCAAATGAAAAATAATTATAATAATAGCTATTAAGTAAATAATCCATTAAAAAACATTTATGTTTACTTAGTTTTGTTTTTGTTTTTAATGCCAGACAGCATGTGTGAACACTAGAGAGAGAGAGTCCCACCAGTGGGATCTGGCTGTAGCACAATCCCCTTTTTCCCTTCTTACATCTCATCAGGGTCATTTGTGTATGTGTCCAGCATGTTTTTCAAGGCACTGGGGCTGGAAATTCAAAGTGCAGTTGGCCATGTGGGATCGATTTCCCTCCACACAGAGTGCTTAAACACTCTCTTACAGGGCCAGCACCATTTATGTTTTATATATACTTGGCCCAGCCTCTGTGTAGCAATCAGTAGTATACTAAAAGCCACATACCAGTCACAGTTTGAGTCCCTGGCCCAGTTGGCTGAAAACACTCTGGGCTTGTGTGTGTCCAGGATGTTGGTGGGCTGGAGGATTGGAGGAAGAGGATCATGGTGTAACTGAGCCCCATGGGTGGCTTTCTCTCTCTCTCTTTCTTTTTTGTGCATGTGCTCTCTACCATAAAAATTAAAAAAAAATATATATATATATATATATCCCAAAGGTAGTTTTATACATATTTCGTATTGTAGCATTTTGATTGAGACTATGAGGTCAGGTGTGGAATTTTTCCACCTGTGGTGGTATGTCAGTTCTCCGAAAGTTTCGGATTTTGGAGTATTTTGGATTTTAGATTTTCACAGTAGGAATACTCAACGTATATAAGAAAACTTAAAAATTCAAGAAAGAAGGCATAATGGTTATGCCACTGGACTCTCACATAGTTGACCATGGCTTGAGTCATGAACCTGGCAGCTTCAAACTCAGGTGTGCATATGTGCCCAGTTTCCTGAGAGAGAGATTGTAGTGTGACTATCCCCCATGGGCGGGGGGGGGGGTGTTTCTCATTTTCTGTCTCTATCTCTGTCTCTCTGGCAAGTGTACATGCCTATAGCAAAGAATCTCTCTTTTTTTTTTTTTTTTAAAGAATTTTAAAATTTTAACTTTATTTAATTTGACCAGAGAGGGATAGAGAGAGGGAGAGAGAGAGAGCAAGCAAGCAAGCTGCCAAGTCCAGGACTCAAACCACAGTCGGCCATGTGGGAGTCTAGTGCCCTTACCCTCCATGCCACCTGCCAGCTCCATAAAAATGTTTCTTAAAAAAAAAAAAATCAAGAAAGAAGAGTATAGGTGATGAGCTAGATTTGGATAGGTGAAATTCAGAGAGAGAATAAAGAATAGTTTAATTCTGGACTAGCCCTGTAGCCTAGTGGTTAAAGGAACTGGATCCTACATGGCTGACCACAATTAAACATCCTGTCATTAGTAGGTTAAAAAACACTCTGGGCTCATGTGTGTGTGTGGCCCAAATCCTGACAGGATGGAGAAATGGTGAAGGAATTGCTGTGTGGCCATACGCCACTAGGAGGTGCTTTCTCCCTCTCTGTCTTTGGTAAGTGCACGTGCCTTCTGGTAATTAAATTTTTTTAAAAAGAAGAGGTTATTCCTTAGGATGAATTAGGTGTTTCTCCAGGGAAAAAGAGTTCAGTGCTATATGAAGAAGCTCAGAAATACGAGGTAAAATGGGTGTGGCAAATGCTTGTATAGAAGCAAGTAGCCAGTCTTACTTTCAGAAGAATCTTAATGTGCTGGTGTGCATTGTGAATCTACAAAGAGAAATCCGTAGTATTTCCCAAACATATATGACTGTAGTGTATTTTTCTGTTTTTTAAATTCATACCTGGTATCTTGAAACAGATTTTATTACCGAAGTATGGGGCCAGCAGGTGGCATGGTGGTTAAGGGCATGTTGGACTCCCACATGGACCACTGAGATTTGAGTCCCAAACTTGGTGGCTTGCTTTCTCACTTTCCCTTTCTTTCTCTCTCTTTGGTCAAATTAAAAAATAATTATAACAAATAAAGTAACATAATTCTTTAAAAAAAAAAAAAGATCAGTGAAGTAAAGCTTATATTTCTGGACATTGTATTCCAGGACCTTTTTGATTCAGCCTTTGCCCAATCTCACCTCTTGGCCTCGTTCATACCATCTTGGAGTTCCCCATGGGTGGGTCTCATATTTTAGGCTTTGGCGGTTTCACCCATCTGTCAGGAAAACCCCTACTACTTCTAAAGGGAGGTGATCTTTATCCTCTCTGGGGGCCTTCTTTGTCTTAACCTGGCAAGCGATATATGTCCTTTCTCAGTAGACTTTTTTTTTTTTTTAATACATTCAATCACATTGTTTAGCTTACTAAGTGAACATTTCAGTATGTAAACTTTTCTCCCCAGTCCAGTTGATCAAAATATCTTAACAGATAACACCACACCTCCCCATCCCGTCAGTGTTCTGCTTCTGTATCTCAGTAGACTCTTGATAGTGTACTTGGCAAGATCCTCCATTTTAGTTGTTACCATATGGAATTATAATCCTTTTTACATTTTTATTTTTCCAGTAGACTGTGAACTCCATGAAGTCTGCGGCCATGTCCTTTTATTTTCATGACATTAGTTCCTAGAATAATTACTAGATATATAAAAAGTTAAATTATAAAATCATTACAGAACCATTTTGAATAATAATATTCCCACAGTAAACCACCAGTAAACACTTAAATGTTGGTTTTATCTTATAAATTTCTTAGATTTCTTTCTATGATTAGGTAAGATGGCATCAAATTAAATGCTCTAGGAAAAAAATTTGTTCTCCATACATAGGGAAAAAAAAATTAAGTTGTATTTATCATTTTCTTGGTAGTTCTTTTAACTTATCTTCATAAAATAAGATTTTCCTCTTAGATAGGAATGTAAATAATGTTCTATCTTTAATGAACATAATATTTAGTCTTTAATTAAAAAACTCAGTGAGGGACTGGCAGGTGGCATGGTAGTGCTTAAGGTGCTGGACTCCCACATGACTAACTGCAGTTTGAATCCTGAACCTCGTGGCTTGCTTTCTCACTTTTTCTCTCTTTTTGTCTCTCTCTCTGGTTGAATTAAAAATAATAATAATACTAGCAATGAATAAAATTAAATGATTCTAAAAAGAAAACCTGAATGATTTCTTTTTCTCCCAGATAACTTGAGTTTAATGTTGAGATGATTCATTCATCTATAGTTGGTAGGATAAGGAACATTATTTTACATGAAACATTATTAAGTATATATTTCTTTATTCTTAGGCATCATTTTTAACAAAGAAGTTAAATATTGGTGGGAAAAGAGTAAACCTTGCCATATGGGTAAGTTAACCTTTTTTAACTATATGGGTTTGGGGGGGATGTGGAAAATGGAAAATGTGTATTTTGAAAACACTGCATGGATTTCTTGTTTTTCTTTTTTTGGTACCAAAGTAAACTCATACTTTGTTTTTCACGAACTTGTTGAAATCCCCTCTTTAGAACAGAGGCCTCTCCCTGCTCTTGATAATCTGATTACTCATTGACTCAAGGAATAGAATTTAAATTTCTGAATTTTTTTCCTTTAATTAACTGAAGGTTAGCCGATACCTTTTGTTTTTTAAAGATTTATTTAGTCATTTATTTTTATTTTTTATTATTATTTTTTAATTTGACCAGATAGTGTCAGAGAGAGGAGAGAAATGGAAAGTGAGAAAGCAAGTCACCAGGTCCAGGACTCAAACCATGGGCAGCCATGTGGGAGTCTAGTGCCTTTAAATACCATTCCACCCGCTCGCTCCTGCCAACTCTTTTTTTTTTTGCCTTTTTGGAGAGATTTTTCGCTATAGGGCGCGTGCGCTCGCCAGACAGAGAGAGACATAGAGACAGAAAGTGAGAAATCACCCCCCGCGGGGGATGGTCACGCCGCAATCCCTTCTCCTCCATTCTCCTCCTGGGATCTTGGGCACGCATGCACACGCACCTGGCGTGAGTTTAAGCTACCGGGTCCGGGACTTGAACCGTGGTTGACTACATGGGAGTCCAGCGACATAGCCGTTATGCTAACTGCTGGTCCCCCCTGCCAGCTCTTTTTAAAACAGGGTTTCATTATATTGTCCAGGCCAGCCTTGAACTCCTCACCATTCTCCTGCCTCTCTCTCTTTTTTTTTTTTCCTTTTTGGAGAGATTTTTCGCTATAGGGCGCGTGCGCTCGCCAGACAGAGAGAGACATAGAGACAGAAAGTGAGAAATCACCCCCCGCGGGGGATGGTCACGCCGCAATCCCTTCTCCTCCATTCTCCTCTCGGGATCTTGGGCACACATGCACATGCGCCCGGCATGAGTTTCAAGCCACCGGGCTGGGGACGCGAACCGCGGTCAACTATGTGGGAGTCCAGCGACATAGCCGTTACCCCAACTGCTGGTTCCCCCTCCTGCCTCTCTTAAGTTTCTGAGATGACAGGGGCACATCACTGTGTCCGGCCTTTTGCTTGAATTGGGAATTGAACCTGGGCCTCTCACCTGGTCAGTCCTTCTTTGTGGAGCCCAGCATCTTAGCAGCATGTGCCACCTGGCTGAGCCAAAACTTTGTTTTCAATAAAAACATTTTCTCAAATCCAGCTAAGAATTACCTCTGTATTACCATTGCGTATTTGAATACTACTGTCATAAGTTTTCAGCTGCAGAAAGGTCAACTCAGGGATGCTACTCCACAGATAGGGCAGAGTGGTAGACAGCCTGCCTGGCCTTTTTTCCTCACTGTGCTTCCATGTTCAAGTTTTCTAATTTTTTTTTTAGAAGAATTTACTTAATTTTATTTATTATCAGTATTTTTTTATTTGACCAGAGAGAGACAGAACAGGAAAGTGAGAAAGCAAGCCACCAAGTCTGGGATTTGAACCATGGTTGGCCATGTGGGAGTCCAGTGCTTTATTTACCATGTGTCACCTGCTGGTCCCCATGATCCAGATTTTTTTTTTTTTTTAGAGAGAGATTTTTGCTGTAGGGCATGTGCACTTGCCAGAGAGGCAGAGACAGACAGAAAGTGAGAAATAATCTCCCAGAGGGATGGCCATACCACAGTCCCTTCTCCATTCTCCTCTCAGGATCTTGGGCACGCATGCACATGTGCCTGGTGTGAGTTTTAACCTTCCAGGATTGGGACTCAAACCACAGTTGAACACATTCAATCTAAAGCCTTTCTTGAAATAGATTTTTCTGTGATGTATAATCCAAAGGAATAATTTCCAAGGCACAAGCTTTTTTCCCCTCTGTAGTTACAGGTTTATTCTGGTTGGAATTACTTGCTTTTTTGTTTTTATTTTGGGAGTCCAGCAACTTAACCATTATGCCATCTTCTGGTCTCTGTGTTCCAGATTTTTAAGGGACCAATCGGTAGAGAGTAGAAGTGTCTACTGGCAGGTGGTCCTGGTGCATGCTTCTTTCCTTTGTGCTTCTCTTTGTATCACAAACCTAAATTTAGGACAGGGCCTAGTCCTGGCTTATTATGTGGTGTTGACCACTCTGACCCTGTGGTAAAACTGAACTCTTTTCAGTGGGGTTGTGGAGATTTCTGAGGAGGAGGAATGTTGGGAGGGGGGAAGTAAACTTTGTATAAGAGTAAAATATTACATATTGTTATAACTTAAAATTCTTTTTAACCCATATTGTTTCTGTTAACAGTGTTTTGGGGTTATCTGTGACTTTATGTCATACTTTTTAATGAACTATATTTTACCATAGTTGGAATAGCAGATGTATTTTTTTCTTCTGATCTAATAAGTATTTGTTGCTTTATTTAGGATACAGCAGGTCAAGAGAGATTCCATGCCTTGGGTCCAATTTATTACAGAGATTCAAATGGAGCTATTTTAGTATATGATATAACAGATGAAGATTCTTTCCAGAAGGTATTTTATTTACTTTATGGATAAATTACTTAATTAGAATAGCACTGATGTTTTTCTTTTTCTCTCTCTCTCTCTCTTTTTTTTTTTTTTTAATTTCTGCTGTAGGGCATGTGCCTTTACTGGAGAGAAGGGGTTAGTGAGAGATCATCTCATGGGGGAATGGCCACGCTGCAATTCCTTCTTCTCCTTTCTCCTCTCGGGCTTTGGGCATGTACACACACACGCTCCTGCTGTGTTTTTCAAGCACCTAGGTCCAGAACTTGAACCATGAAGTCAGCCACGTGGGATCCAGCTGTCTTAACCATCTCACCACCCACTGGCCCTACGATCTGGCCATCTTTTGGGTGGTCGGGAAAGTCATGACATATTTTTGCATTTTTCTATTTTCCTGACAACCTGATGTGTGTAGCACTTTATTGCTGTGCACAAGGCCAATCCAGTTCCTTCATTTTTTTTCAATTCGTCTTAAAGCATACACAACGTAGGATTTATAAAGTTGTTTGGGACCAAATATGAGTTACAGTTAAATTTCTAAATTGTCATCACAATTGGATGGGCTACTCGTTTGACCTTTCCTCCTAAAGGCTTTCTTGGAATAGATTTTTTTCTGTGATGCATAACCCAAAGAAATAATTTCCAAGGTACAAGATTTTTTTTCCTCTGTACGTACAGGTTTATTCTTGTTGGAATTACTTGCTCTTTTGTTTTTAATATATATATGTGTGTGTGTGTGTGTGTGTGTGTCTGTGTGTGTGTGTATTACACATTTTTTCCCCTAGTTAAGTCTGATGGATCAGATACACAAATTAGCCTTTGGATTATTAATGATATACGAAAGAACTTAGTGCAAGGAATAAAAATATAAATAATAGGTAGTGGACAGATTTTGTTTTTTGGGTTTTTTTTTTTTGGAGAGGTGTTTGCTATAGGGTGCATCCACTCACCAGAAAGACAGAGAGAGAGACAGAGAGACAGAAAGCAAGAAATCACCCCCCCCCCCGGGGGAATGGCCACCCCACAATTCCTTCTATTCTCCTCTTGGGATCTTGGGCACGCACGCACACTTTCTTGGCGTGAGTTTAAGCCACCGGGACTCAAACCTTGGTCAACTACCTGGGAGTTCAGCGACATAGCCATTACGCCAACTGCTGGTCCCACTTGACAGTTTTTTTTCTTTCTTTCTTTTTTTTTCTTCCATAGAGCATGTGAGCTCACCAGGGAGCAATAGAGAGAGAAAGTGAGAAATAAAACCCCCAGGGAGGATGGCCATGTCACAATCCCTTTTCCTCCATTCTCTGTGGATTTTGGGTATGCACACACATGTACCCAGCAGGATTTTCAAGCTCCCAGGCCTAGGACTCAAAACAGTAGTCAGGTGTGGGACTCTGGCACCTTTACCACCAAGCCATCTGTTGGCAGAATGGTGTTTTTGGGGATTTTTAGGGTCCCTTCTGCCTGCAATACTCCTACCCAAATCTTCCTTTCTTTCTGTCATTCATGATAGAGCACATGCATGTACATGTGAGAGAGAAAGAAAGAGACAGAGGAGCATCCTCCACAGGATCTGGTCACATAATCCTCTCCTCAAGTGCTTTTAGCTCATCGGGTCTTGGGCACTTACATGCATGCCTGCTGTATTTCATGCTAACTAAGCCAGGGATCGAAACCACAATTGCCATGTGGTATTCAACTTCTCTTGAGCAGTACTTTACCACCATGCTGTAGAGCTGACCCGAATTTAATGATTTCTAGAAGTTACTTTGGGGCTGCTGTTTGGTGAAGCCTGTTTATTTATTTGCTTGTATATATAATAAATGCTTTAGTATCCTGTTGATTAAGATGGAATCTTTTTTAACATTTATTTATTCATATTTATTTATTATTACTATATTTTTTATGTTTGCTATGTGGCATGTGTGCCCACCAGAGAGAAACAGACAGAGAAAAAGGAGAATGCAAGCCACCAGGTCCAAGACTCAATCCATGGTCAGCCATGTAGGAGTCCAGTGCCTTAACCATCACACCACTTGCTGGCCCCAAATTGAGTCTTTCTAGGATGAAAAGTGGCCAATTATTAGTTGCTACATAACAGAACCTCCAAACTTGGTGACTTAAAGGAAAATTTATTATTTCTCACATTTCTGTAGGTTGACTAGGTAGGTCCTCTGCTCTGCAGGATGACAGTGGAATCACTCATGTAGCTACATTGAACGAGAGGTTTGGCTGGAGCTGGGGTGTCCAGGAAGGCCTGGTTCTCTTCCATATGACCTCTCACTCCATCTGATGTCTTTTTTCTGATACTTTTTCCATGTGTTCTCATAATTCTGTATTTTAGTCTAAGCTTTTTATGTGACATCAGGATCCCAAGAGTGTGAACGTAGAAGCTGCCAGGCTTTCTTAAAGCTGGAACTGGCACAGCATTACTTCTGTTGCATACTCTCGGTCAAGGCACGTTAAAAGTCTAGTCGAATCCAAGAAGTAGAAGAGCTGGCTCTGAAGCATAGCAGTTCAGTGCTGTACAGAGAGAGCTGAATCCCACATGGCCAACTGTGGTTCTAATCCTGACCCCAGTGGCTTGAAAAACACCAGATATGTGTGTGTGTGTGTGTGTGTGTGTGCCCCCAATCCTGATGTAGAGAGAACTGGAGGAAAGGGTGCTTTCTTTCTTTTTCTTTGGTTTCTCTCTCTGTCTCTTGGGCAAGCATAGACGCCTTCTGGCAATAAAGGATAAATAAAGTAAAAGTAAACAGATGAAGAGTGGGAAATTCAACTTTACCACTCGATTGGGAAATTTGTGACCACTTATAACTCACTGCAAAATGTAAGGGCTAGGAACCCTGTGGAAGGAATTCTAATTGGAAACGAATAACAGATTTTAAAGAATATTGGTTAGGGGGCTGGCAGGTCATGTGGTTTAAAGTATTGGACCCAAATGGCCAATCATAGTTCAAGTCCCGGGGACCTGGCAACTTGCCTTCTCACTTTCCCTCTTTTTCTCTTTCTTTCTCTGTTTGGTCTAAATAAAAGATAATAATAACAAATGGAATTAAATAAATAAATAATTTAAAAAATATTTGTTAGATTAGTAGTTTATGAAATTATGTAACAGGGATTACATAGTTTACCTATAAAACGATTCTGGCATGTGTATTTTGAGGTGATGAAGATATATGTACTGCCACATTTTCTTATGTGAAATCAATAAGAGGGGAAGTTAAATTCTTTGAAAACTTTATACATACTTGTGAGGGAAGCAAAAGATAGAGCTATACTGAGGAAACATTTTCAGTACTGTTCATGAGAATAAGATGGTAAAAATTATCAATACTTTTTATAAGGATTTTGGGTCTTTGAAGAATAGGAGTGTAAAACCCTCATATTTGTTTGTTTTTAAATAGTTATTTAGTTTTATTTATTCATTCACTTATTTTAATTTGACCAGAAAAAGAGAGAGGTAAAGAGAGAGAGAGAGAAGAGGGAAAGTGAGAAAGCAAACTACCAGGTCTGGGACTCTAACCATACCTGGCTCTGTGGGAGTGTCCAGTGCCTTAATCACCACACCACCTGCTGGTCCCAGAACCCTCATGTTTGCATCATAGGACGAGATGCACAGTAAGTGCTTACTATATATCTAATGTAATTTTTGTAATCTATAGTCTTTTTTTTTTTTTGGTATAAGGATGTGTGTGCTTGCTGGAGAAGAACAAAGAGGGAAAGTGGGCAGTCACCCCTAGTGGGTATGGCCATACCATAATCCCTTCTCCTCTATTTTCCTCTCAGGATTCTGGGTGTGTGCTCTCATGTGCCTGGTGTGACTTTCAAGCCACAGGGTTTGGGACTCAAACCACTCAGTTGACCATGTGGGCTCCAGCTGCTTTAACCTCTGTGCCACTTGTTGGCCCCAAGATACGTATATACTTTTTTAGGAAGGTGTATGTACAAATTCTGTATGATTTGATTGCATACAGTTTAGATTCTATTACAAGAAATGAAAGCAGGTGTCTAAGTTTGTTCTTTATCATGTTGTTGTGTTGTAATCAGCATATTTAAAATCATGAGTTTTAAAGATCAATCTACTTAATCCATTTACTCCCAGCTGTGCCTGCTGATACGGCACAGCGGAGAATCAGTTTGTCATTAGAATTATTAAACACAGGACCAGCAGTTAGCGTAATGGCTATGTTGCTGGACTCCCATGTAGTCGACCATGGTTTGTGTCCCAGACCCGGTGGCTTAAACTCACTCTGGGCACATGTGCGTGTGTGCCCAAGATCCCAAGAGGAGAATGGAAGAGAAGGGATTGCGGCAAGACCGTCCTCCCTGGGGGTGATTTCTCGCTGTCTCTCTCTGTCTGTCTGGCGAGCGCACGCGCCCTATAGCAAAAAAAAAACCCTCTATTAAAAAAAAAAGAATTATTAAACACTAGTGGTCGGTACCAGAGCATGGCAATATCTGGAGATGTCCTTGGTAATCAGAACTAGAGGGTGCTACTGGCTAAATCAAAAAGATATTACACAAGCCAGTCCCCCACAACAAAGATTTATTTGAGCCAAATGTCAGTAGTGCTGAGGACGAAAATCTCTGTCATACATTAAATGATAAAAGTTTACTTTGTCACTTTTTTAGGGGATAGCCATATGAATTTTTCCTTCAGTGTGTGACATAGGATCTCCTGTGCTCTCTATTTAGGAACCAGTTAGGGTACACAACCCTGGTTTAAGATTATGTGTTTTAAGTCCAGAGTGACACTATATAAGCATCTATCAGGTCATCAAAAAAGTCATGATGCATTTGTGCATAGAAAAACACATCATGATTTTCCTGACAACCTAATATTATCAGAGGCTTACTTGACATGATTTTCTTTCTTTTTTTTTTTTTTGAGAGTTTTTTTGCTATGGGGCATGTATGCTCGCCAGAAAGACGAGAGAGACAGAGAAACAGAAAGTGAGAAATCACCGCCCAGGGGGGATGGCCAGGCTGCAATCCTTCCTTCTGCACTGTCCTCTCTGGATCTTGGGCACACACACACACACACACACACACACACACATACACATACATGCCCGACGTGAGTTTAAGCCACCAGGTCCGGGACTCGAACCGTGGTTAACTATATGGGAGTCTAGTGACATAGCCATTAAACCCACTGCTGGTCACAGTTAACATGATTTTCTCCAGCAAATAGTTTTGCTTGTATCTGTGGAAGATTTATGAAAATTTGTAATTAGGGGTATTTCTGTGTATACCTATGTGTAGATTTATAAAGATCTTTCCACTATATGTTTGTATGTATGTTTGTTTGTAGATATAACCTGGCACTAAATGATCCATCATTGAATTTTTCTTTTTCTTTTTTTTTTTTTTGCCAAGGGCTCGACAAAGACACAGAGACAGGGAAAAGTTAGAAAGCACCCTCCCTTGGGGAATAGTATGCCACAATCCTGTCTCTTCCACTTCTCTCTTCTTTGTCTTAGGTATTTTGAGCACATGTGCGCAGGTGCCCGGCCTGTTTTTCAAGACCCCGTGTGTAGAACTAGATCTGCACAGTGAGCCATATAGGCTATAGCCACTTTACCACCATACCACCGTCTGGCCCCGTTGAATTATTCTTAATAATAACTAGTTGCATAGGTCATTAGACAAAATACTGAGATATTTTAACAGTGTTGAGTTTTAGTGTGTTGTAACATAGTAATTCTAACCAGATTTGTTTTAATATTTACTTTTTTATACACACAGGTAAAAAACTGGGTCAAAGAGTTACGGAAAATGTTGGGAAATGAAATCTGTTTATGTATAGTTGGTAAGCATTATTACTTTAAAAAATGTATTTTGTTTATTCTTTATTGAGCATGTACTGGATGCTGGGCCTTTATTCTTTATTTTATTTTTACATCAACACTGCAAGGTTTATTAACCAAATTTATACAGAGGGAAAGTCAGAGAGGTTAAGCACTTTGCCCCAAATCTTACACCTGTGAGCTAGGACTTCTAAAAAAGTTTTAATAGATTTCAAAGCTGTTTGAAAGCTTATTTTCCCTGTGTGCCTCAACCATTCACTATAAGCAAAATATGATTCTAGTTCTTTGTCATTATTAGGCTGTCTGCCCTTAGCAATGGACATATCCTATTTCTGTTCTTAACCCAAATGTGTATTTTTAATGATGATAAAGGTTTTGCTATTCTCACCAAGGTAGCTTTTCTTCCTTCTCCAATAGCCTTCATAGTAATACACCATCGAACAGATGCTTACTTCGGTTGTTGTCCTTGTTTTCGGCCTATCAGAAAGCTCCCTGCAGTAGTATTAAAACAGCCTTACACCCTTAGCTGTCTTACTTTGCAAATAGTGTAAGAATTCAAGGGTTTTTGAACTTTGGAAAGATGTGAGTCACTAACAGGTCAGTTTTCTGTAATATAGTGTGTTCTTAATCCATTGTGAACACTAATTGTTTGAAGGAATAGTAGTTATTTAGTATGGAAATTAAAAACCATTTTTAATTGAGAATAATTTGGTTATTAAAATAATTATTTTAATGGCCTGATTTATTAAAATTAGCCTGGATAAAATAATACTAAATAATAAAGCAGTATCTGAGTAATTTCCCCTAAACGTTCATTTGAGTTTTTTTCCTAATTCTTACCCTTTTTATAGGTGTTGATGATTCTTGTGGGATTTGGAAAAATGAGGCTTTAAGGTCTAGGGAAAAAGATAAAAAGGTTTTAGTTAACTGGAATCATAGTGCGCATAGAATCTATAGGGGGCTACCCTGTTTTGCCTTTTTGGAGGCAGATTCTTGGGCCTGTTTGTTAGCTCCACTGACCACCAGGTGGTGCTTTCTGCATTTGTTGTAGAGTAAAGCAACTTGTTCTTCCTCATGCTGTTGTCAGATATATTGGCTATAATACTTCCCAAATCAAAAATTGTACTGATAAAATATAATGTGGGCCAGTCACAATTAGTATGGAACTTTTTGCTGATGTAGACAGATCTAACTGTTCCAAAAGGAAGGGTTCATTAATGAATTTTTTAAAAAGAATAATTCATTTAATTTTATTTATTATTTTTATTTTTAAATTTGACCAGAGAGAGAGACAGAGAGAGAGAGAGGGGAAGTGAGAAAGCAAGCTACCAGGTCCAGAGCTTGAACTGTAGTTGGCCATATCGGAGTCCAGTGCCTTAACTATCATACCACCTATTGGCCCCTGAATTTTTTGATATTCACTGAATTTATTATTTATTCATTCATTTATTTATTTATTGGAATATGATCTCTATTGAGCTTATCCACCAGAGTGGATATATATATAATATCTGTACAAAACCAAATGTTTGTTACTATAATTTCTGCATCACAATTAAAATTCAAACAGTTTTTTAAGAACAGTCAACTCAATCAAATCCCACTACTTCAGAATCAATAACTTCTTTGAAGCCACAGTAACACTTAAATATGGTTAAGACTCGAATACAGAAATTCGGTTGGTTGGAAAGCTAATAAAACTTCCAACTTGCTCAAATAGAATTACACAAAGGCGAAATTGTGTTTTTCACAGAGATCCAGTCCACTGGAATCACCAACACCAGACAGCTGTTAAGAGTATTTAGAGTGCTGAGATAGTAAGGAATCCAGGCATCCTTCAGACAGTCTTCTGTTGTCCTTCCTTCCCAATCAGAGATGTGTGGATGTGTGGAATAATGCCACCACCAGCAATTGTAGCCTTGATGAGAGAGTCCAATTCCTCATCTCCACGAAATAGCAAGTTGCAAGTGACGAGGAATGATGATGCTTTACCTTTAAGTCTTTTGATGCATTTCCTGCCAGTTCAAGTACCTCTGCAGTGAGGTACTCCAGGATCACAGCGCCGTACACAGCTGTAGTCTTGCCCACACATCCATGGCTGGTAGTTCTAGGTTTCAGGTGTCAATGAGTACGGTCCACCAGGAACTGCAAGCTGGCCCTCTGCAAGCGGGAAACCGCCTTTGTCTTGGCCTTTCTGGAGTCTTTCTCAGCCTTACCACCAGCCATTTCGAATTCTGCTGAAGCTCACACGAGCAAGGCAGAAAAAGGGCTAGTCAGACACACAGCGAGATGCCACGAGCTACTCCTTTGTCACACCGCGATTCAAACTGCCACTGAATTTATTTTTTAAAGGATTATGTATTTGGGCCAGCAGGTGGCATGGTGATTAAGGTGCTAGACTCTCACATGGCCAACGGTGGTTTGGTTCCCAGACCTGGCTGCTTGCTTTCTCACTCTTGCTCACTTGCTCTCTTTTTATCTTTCTGGTCAAATCGAATAATAATAATAAATAAAATAAATAATTATTTAAGAAAAGGACCAAGTATTTTATTTATTATTATTTTAAAATTTGCTATAGAGCATATGTGCTCACCAGAAGGGGATACAGAAGAGAGAGAAAGTAAGCCACTGGGTCTGGGACTCAAACCACAATTATCCATGTGGGAGTCCAACACCGTTATTACCATGCCACCTCCAGCCCCTCCACTGATTTTTTTTTTTTTTTAAAGAGGCTTTTGCTATAGAGTGTGTATGCTTACCAGAGAGACAGAAGACTGTCTGAAGGATGCCTGGATTCCTTACTACCTCAGGACTCTAAATACTCTAACAGTTGTCTGGTGTTGGTGATTCTAGTGGACTGGATCTCTGTGTAAAATTTCTACGAGAGAAATTACCTTCTGGGGCTATGACCAAGCCACAGTTCCTTCTCCTCCATTCTTTCAGGATTTGGGGCATGCACTCACACGCACCCAACATGAGTGTCCAGCCTTTGGGTCTGGGACTCAAATGCAGTTGGCCATGTGGAAGTCTAATACCTTAACTACTATTCCACCTGCTTCCCCCCCTCCCCCAATGAATTTCATTGTTGTCTGAATCCCTCCCTGTCATCCTTAGGCTATGGTGCTAAATAGTTTCTTGCAGCTTCCGCAATTAGGTGCTCAGATTGAGGTCCTATATATATAGAATCTCTGGTTTTAGACTTCTCAGTGCTAAACTCTGCATCTTTCATTGGGTACTTACATCAGTGTTTTATCTGAAATTGTCTTCTAGATTCTACAAGATCCCAAGGGAAAAAATGGCCTTACTTATATTCTTTTCCCCATAAATGTCACAGTAGAACAGGTTAAAAAATTTGAAGTGTTTCTTTCTTTCTTTCTTTTTTTTTTTTTTTTGAGAGGTTTTCGCTATAGGGCGTGTGTGCTCACCAGACAGAGAGAGACATAGAGACAGAAAGCGAGAAATCACCCCCCAGGGGGGATGGCCACGCCACAGTCCCTTCTCCTCCATTCTCCTCTTGGGATCTTGGGCACACACGCACACGCTCCCGGTGTGAGTTTTAAGCCACCAGGTCCGGGATGCGAACTGCGGTCGACTATGTGGGAGTCCAGCGACATAGCCATTACGCTAACTGCTGGTTCCCAAGTGTTTCTTTCTTAAGGGTATTTTTTCATTCCTACCTGTTTTTCCCTTTATCTTTAGCACTCTGTGCCAGCTCACCTTAACTTCTAATATCTGATAAAGATGCTGCATCTTGCAGTTTATTTTTGTTGTTGTTGACTTTTTAGCATGATTAGAGCATATTTCCATTGTTTAAGGAGAACTAACCCTTACTTTCTGTAGTATAAAATCCATATGATTTGCATGTTTTATGTGCCAGTAATAAGTCACTAAAGTTGCCTTTTTTTTTTTTCTTACGGAGAGGATTTTGCTATAGGACATGTGCGCTCACCAGAAAGACAGATACAGAAAGCAAGAAATCACCCCCCCAGGGGGAATGGCCATGCTGTAATCACTCTCCTCCATTCTCCTCTCGGGATCTTGGGCATGCACGCACATTCTCCTGGTGTGAGTTTAAGCTGCTGGGTCTGGGACTTGAACTGCTGTCGACTACATGGGAGTCCAGCGACATAGCCATTACACCAACTGCTGGTCCTGTAAAGTTACTTTTTAAACAGACTTTACAGCTGTTTTCCCCTATGTGATACTTAAAAATCCATACATTTTAATTTTTATTGTAACCAGTTTATATCATCCAGAAAAACCATTATTGCTTAGGATCCATGAAACTAACCTAAGTATATTTTAGTAAATAATAAAATAGCCATACTTAATATTGACTGACTCTTAAATTGATTGGTGACTATAGAAATATTTTCTCTTGCTTTTGATAATTTATCTTGGCTGAGAATCATGTTTACCCCTATATTTCCTAGGGAATATTAGTCCCTACAAATATCCTAAATTAAATAGTAGTACCCATCTCTTTGGAAAAGTTGTTTTCTTTGATAGAGGCTGCAGATGCAGGAGGGAAATTTGTTGAGCCTTTTGAAGGAGGTGGAGGTATTTGCCATAGGATGCATGTGCTTACTCCAGAAAGAGAGCGAGCGAGAGAGAGAAAGTGAGAAATTATCCCCCCTCCAGAGGGAATGGCCATGCCACAGTCCCTTCTCCTCTATTCTCCCAGGATTTTGGGCATGCATGCACACATGCCTGGTGTGATTTTTCAAACCACTGGGTCTGGGGCTCAAACCGCAGTTGGCCGTTTGAGAGTCCAGTGTGTTAATCACCACACCACCTCTTTGGCCTCCATAGCAGTTAGTGTTCTACTGTTGTTTAAAGATGTTTAAAAGTCTGATGGGGATTTGTTTTTCTTCTGGTAATTAAAAAGATGGCAATTATGTCCTTATCATTGACCTAATTTTGTTTTTTTTTTTAAAAATCAGCATTTAAGATTAGTATTTACTTTATTTTCAAATTAGGTAATAAAATAGACTTGGAAAAGGAGAGACATGTTTCCATTCAAGAAGCAGAATCGTAAGTGTTGTGCCTCCCACCCCTGCCCCCATCCCCACCCCTCCTCAGTAGAAGTCTCCCGCTTGGTACAGTGTCCTTTACCATTTAGCTATTACATAACCTCTTAAGGTAGAATAAACTCTTGAATTCAGTGAAGCAAATGTATAATGTTAAGTTGGTAATTTCTTAGACTTTTGATAATACTTAAAGATATTCCACTCCCATTTCTTTCTTCCTTTTATTTTTAATTTTTAATTTTTTTCTTTTTTTTGAGAGAGATTTTTTTCTATAGGATGTATGTGCTTGCCAGAGAGACAGAAAGTGAGAAATTAACACTGGGGGAGATGGCTACACCACAGTCCCTTCTCCTCCAGTCGCCTCTTGGGATTGGGAGCATGCATGTATATGCACTAGGCGTGAGTTAAAGGCCACCAAGTCTGGGACTCGAACTACAGTTAACTACGTGGGAGTCCAGCGATGTAACCATTGTGCCATCTGCTGGTGCCTCCATTTCTTTTTTTTTTAAGAGATTTTTGCTTTAGGGTGCATGTGCTCACTAAGGAGACAGAGACAGGATGTGGGAAATCACCCCCTATAGGATATGGCCATGCCAAAATCCCTTCTCCTTTATTCTCTCAGGATTTTGAGCACATAAGCACATGTGCCCAGTGTAAGTTTCAAGCCACAATGTCTGGGACTTGAACCACTGTCAACCACGTGGGAGTCCAGCACCTTAACCACTATGCCACTATTGGCACCCTATTTTTCTTTTTGATTTCAGTAAAAAAATGCAGGAGTGTTATAAATGAATACTATCATGGTCAAATAGGCAGTGAGTCACAGAAGCTTTTAAACTATTTGGGGTTCCAATTTTGTTGAAATCTTTGGTTTTTTAAAATATTAGTTAAATATATAGAGAGCCATGTAATCTTTATTTCACTAGACTTAGATAAATTAATAAGCCCCTAAAATTGTTGCTGGAAAAATTTCAAACAGCAGTCATAGCAAAAATATGAAAAGTGTATTAATCACTGATGTTACTTTATTTTTTTAAGGTATGCAGATTCTGTGGGAGCAAAACATTATCATACTTCAGCCAAACAGAACAAAGGAATTGAGGAACTCTTTCTTGACCTTTGTAAAAGTAAGTATATTCACATGTAGTATTTTTATAAATGGCTTTTTTGGGGACAGCAGGTGACATGGTGGTTAAGGTGTTAGACTTCCACACAGCCAACCATGGTTTGAGTTCCAGATCTGGCAGCTTGCGTTCTCACCTTCTCTATCTGTGTCTCTCCCTGGTAAAATTTTAAAAATGATGATAATAAATGGAATTAAATAAAATAACTTTTATTTAAAAAATAAAAAATAAATGGCTCTTTTAAAAATATTGGTAATACTTCTTTTTTTTTATAAAGACAGTCCTTTTTTATATTATTTATTTAATTTTACTTATTCAATCATTTATTTTAATTTGACCAGAAAGAGACACAGAGGAGGAAAGAGAGAGAGGGAAAGTGAGAAAGGAAGCCACCAGGTCCGGGACTCGAACTGTGGTTGGCCATGTGGGAGTGTCCAGCACCTTAACCACCACGCCACCTGCTGGTCCCAAAAATATTGGTAATATTTCTAAAGTGATGTTTTACTAATCTTTGTTAATGATCATGTTAATCATTTATCACACCTACTAGTATTATTTTACTTAACATTTTATTTAAGTACCAGAAGTCACATGTGCTTGCCAGAGAGAGAGAGAACTAGAAAGGAAGAGGGATTGTGGTCATATCATCATCCTGTCAGGATTTGGTGCACATCTGACATGTTTTTTTAGGCCTTCAAGACCAAGAGTCAAACTGTGATTGGCAATGTGGGATCCAGCTTTTTTAACCACTAATCTATGAAGCTGGCTGTACTTAATATTTTTAGTTTGCCAGAGGGCACATGTGAAAGAGGCACAGAGAAAGAGGAGGAGAAGGCATCTCCCATGGAAGTGGTCATGCCCAACTCTTTTTCCTCCATCTCTCCCTCCTTTTGGGATTTTTGGGCACGCACACACACACACACACACACACACACACACACATGCACCCACACCTAACATGTTTTTCAAGTTTCCAGGTCTGGAACTGGATCTGTGCATTCAGCCGTGTGGGGTGTAGCCACCTTAACCATACCACTGGCCGGCCTACTACTTAATATTTTTAAACTCTTTTTTTTTAACGAGAGATTTTTGCTATGGCGTGCATGTGCTCACTCACTGGAGAGACAGAGAGAGACACCTCCCATGGGATGTCTATGCTGTAGTCCCTTTTTCTCCATTCTTCTCTTGGGATTTTGGGCATGCATGCATATGTGCCTAGCATGAGTCCCAAACTGTAGAATCCAGGACTCGAATTGCAGTTTACCATGTGGAAGTCCACTACCTTAACCACAACACCACCTGCTGACCCCCTTTAAACTCTATTTTTAAAAAGTAATACCTACTTTAGCCTTGTTTCAAGTAGTAATTAATAAATGAATTATGAAATCATATGTGTGGTATATACCAAATGCATATTAAAATATACAGAGCAATTAAAAGTAAAAATGGGTGCCAGCTCCATGGTCTGATGGTTAAGGCACTCAGATTCTGTGTGGCCAAGTACATGGTTCAAATACTGTCTCCAGCAGCCTGAAAAATATGCAGGCATGGGACCAGCAGTTGGTATAATGGCTATGTTGCCATGTAGTAGACTGCAGTTCAAGTCCCAGACTCAGTGGCTTAAACTCAGCCCGGGTACATGTGCGTGCGTGCCCAAGATCCTGAGAGGAGAATGGAGGAGAAGGGATTGTGGCGTGGCTATCCCCCAGGGGGGTGATTTCTCACTTTCTGTCTGTCTCTTTCTAGCGAGCACACACACCCTATAGGAAAAACTTCTCCAAGAAAGAAAAAAAGAAAAATATCCAGGCACATGTGCATGCAAAAAATAAAGTTACTTTTAATAGAAATTTTGAAGTACTGAGAAAAATAAGTAGAAATAGAACTTGTAATATTTCCTTATTTTGTCTTGGCGGATTGTTCCTGCACACTTCAATTGTTCAGGAGTACTCTTTGGACCCAAATTTACATACCATTTTTCTATTTTGAGGATTTGTCCTTTCTGCTCTCATTTTGTCAGATATGTATTTTGCAAATATTTTCTTCCATTTGGTGTCTAGTAATTTCATTTTTTAAAACTATATTTGTGAAAGAACAGAAGTAACTGGATAAGGGGAGGCTATGATATCATTTTCTTAAAAGAATTAGATTTCTACTTGAAGAACAAAGCCTGTCTCCTAAATAGCACTTAGAAAAATTGATACTTATTTGACATATCTCTAAGTATGTCTGGAAACTCTTAGGAATCATACCTTTTTAAAGTTTATTCCATGCTTCCAAGAGGGAGAGACAGACAAACAGCAACCCCCAACAGGGTCTTCATGGCACAGTCCATGCCCACCTAGCCCCAGGTCATAGGCATGTGTGTGCTCTACAGAGGAAGGTCTGGGTATGCGAACTCAGAACCTTCCTATGTGGGTCGGCATCGCAGAGTCGTATTTTACCACTGTGCCACCATCTAGCCCCTTAAGGATTATACTTGTACATAGTCATTGGTTCAAAACAAAAAAAAATTACTTTTTCTTTGTTGATATTACCGTGGTCATTATACCACTGGGTAAATGCACTTGGTACTTGATAGCCTTAAAATAATTATTTAATTCTATCTGTCAATATTTCTATCTATTTATGGGGCATGTGTGCAAGAGAAAGAGAAAGTAAGTGAGACAGCAAGCCCCCAGGTCTGGGATTCAAACCATGATTGACCATGTGGGAGTTTAGTATCTTAACCCACCTTACTACCTGTTGGCCCAGTACTTGATAGCTTTTGAAAACTTGGAGTAAAGCTATTTTAGTAAGCTGAGATAGTGTTCCGTATATTGTTTCTTTGTGGTTGAAAGTCAGAACTAGCTGTCATTATGTTTTTTTTTTTTTTTAAGATTCATTAATTTAATTTTAATTGTTACTATGTATTTTTAAGAATTTAAAATTTTTTAACTTTATCATTATTATTTTCTAATTTTATCAGATAGAGACAGGGAGAGAGAGAGGGAAAGTGAGGAAGCAAACTGCCAGGTCTGAGACTTGAACTGTGGTCAGCCATCTGGGAGTCAAGCACCTTTAGTCACCATGCCACCTGCTGGCCCCTATTACTATTATTATTACTTTTTTTTCTTTTTTCAAGAGAGATTTTTGCCATAGGGCACATATGCTCACTAGAGAATAGAAAGTGAGAAATCACCCCCCGGGGTGATGGTCATACCTCACTCCCTTCTCCTCCATTCTCCTTTTGGGATCTTGGGCATGAACACACACGCGCCCAATGTGAGTTTTAAGTCACTGAGTCCAGGACTCGAACTGCAGTCAACTACATAGGAGTCCAGCAATATAACCATTACACTGTCTGCTGGTTCCTGTTACTATTTATTTTTTTACTTCACCAAAGAAAGAGAGAAAGGGAAAGTAAGAAAGCAAGCTGCCAGGTCCCACAGTCTAACCATGGTTGGCTGTGTGGGAGTCAAGCCTCTTAACCATCATGCCACCTGCTAGCTCCTCTGTCATTATGTTAGAATGAACTTATAAAAGAGAACACATAGGGACCAGCAGGTGTAATGGCTATGTCGCTGGACTCCCATGTAGTCGACTGTGGTTCGAGTCTCGGATCTGGTGGCTTCCACTCATGCCAGGTGCGTGTGCATGTGTGCCCAAGATCCCGAGAGGAGAATGGAGGAGAAGGGATTGCAGCGTGGCCATCCCTGTCTCTCTCTTTTTGGCAACCGCATGTGCCCTATAGCAATAACCTCTCAAAAAAAAAAAAAAAAAAGAGAGAGAGAGAGAGAACACATAAAGATTATGGTCCTAATTTTTTTTGTTTTCTTCCTTTCTTAGGGATGATAGAAACTGCACAAGTTGACGAGAGGGCAAAAGGCAACGGCTCCAGTCAGCCGGGAGCTGCCAGGCGAGGTGTACAGATTATCGATGATGAACCTCAAGCCCAGAGCAGTGGTGGAGGGTGCTGTTCTTCTGGATAACTGTTCACGCCTAGGGAATTAAAAAACAAACAAAACTGTGGATCATTGCCCTCAACATGAAGACTGCCATATTCCAAGTCACATTATTTTACCAATGGAATTATAGAATTAACAGTATTTTAAATTACATTTATAACACTGCAGAGACCTTAAGTGCTAAACTTAGTGGAGTTTGTGACCAGAGAATTGGCATTTTCTACAAATGTTAACAAAGCAATTACCAATGGCCTTTTTACATATTTTTTTCTTTAATGAGGAATAATATGCATGTAGAAAAGACCTACTTAAAGGCTTCATTTATATTCTTTTAAATCAAATCTTTATTTAATAACTTATATATGTTGTTGGAATGGTATACATTTTTGCAGCCCTTTGTATTTTGTGGTAGTTTGAATTGTATCACTTCTAAACAGCAAACTGTTGTGTTTTTGTTTTTAATTAGCAGATACCTGAAGTACTATTTTTGCAGGGTTTGCACAGGCCCCTAACTGTCTACTACTTTGATATAATCTATATACATCCTGTATGCTGAGCTGGTAAAATACATTGTAAATTACATATTAAATATTTTATCTGCTTTTACAAGCGCAAGGTGCAAAAATATATATGATAGTCTCATTGATGACTGTAAAGTGAATTAACATTTGGTGATAATGCCTAAGCTTTTTGACTCTGATATAAAGATCATAGCTCCCCTTCACTTTTGTCTTAACCTGAAAGTGGCGTGTTTAAATCTTTACACATACTTTACTTGAACTATTGCTATTGTCACGTTATTTGCCTCTGTTCAAGTCCATCAGATGATTGAGCAGCAACATTTGCCTTTTGGCTTGAGGTTTTTGTTTTTGGTTTTGTTTTCTTTTATATAAAGAGGTGATTGATGCTGATTTCGCTTTAGAATGGCTACCTTAGAAGAATATGAGTGGAACATGCTGGTTTCACTTCTGCTGCAGCTATCGTTTTCTCTGAGGCTTTATATGAGATAGGCTCACTGGTGTGAGAAGAGAGAGAGATCCCAGATAGGAGCCACCTGCCAAGACTCATTCATACAGCCTGTCATTGGTGGTTCATGCTTCTGAAGCAGCACTTTTGGATTCTTTGTGAGCAAGTTGTATTTCTTCATACATTCATTGCTTGCCAGAGATGAACAGGCAGAGTTCTGTTTCATTTTATAAGAGTTACCCTTCTGAGTTTCCATGGAGGGAAACATTTTATGTTATGCAGTTATAGCAAACACTGGAAAGATTGATTATAAAGTTATATTCTTGTATACTTTGTAAATTAGCCCCTTATTTGTTTTGTTTTTGTTTTTATTTTATTTTATTTTTTTTAGCATAGGGATGAACTTAAATTTAATAGAATCAGGCGCTGCTCACAGAAGGAAAAGAGATTGTGGAAGTTAACATAAATTGTTCTTGTTCTAATATATATATTTTTCCATTTCTGTCATGCTTGGAAAACTAGTAAATGTATGTCTAAGACAAAGTGAAATGGCCCCTGGATTTACTTCTTATAAAAAGCAGTAGTATGCCATAAGCTGTTGGCATGAGCAATTAAGAAGGTGTGAGAAAGGTTATAGTTACCAAAAAGGGACTCCTGTATTTTTAGGTTAATAGTTCAAACCTTCCCAGATGGGATAAAGGTCGATTGAACTGACACCTTGGTGTTACGGTGTTGGAATTCTAACTTAGTATTAAGTGCCCTGTGAACTCTCGCTTTACCTTTTTTAATGAATTGTTCTTGCCAAATTCAGCACACTGACCTGTTATGTGTATTTGAAGCGGAGAGGGGTGGGAAGAGTCAGGGAGATGAGGTAAAATCGTCTTTTGTAAGATGCTTGTACTCTGTAGTCTCTTGGTTTTCTGCAATGTCAGAGTTTTTGTGGGATGGGAGGGCAGCAGGAA